ATGGAATAATTTTTCAGAAGATTATCTGTTAATCTTCAAGAGGCTTTGACCTCCTGCTATTAGATTTTTTCCCACTTATTTCTTGTTTTAGCAGTTAACTGACATTAAATGTTTTTGGGCACACCAAGACTGGTGCTAGATTGAATAGTGCACAATGATTAAAGAGCTAGAATTTTTCTCCTTTATAGTTTTCTAATTTGTATAAAGGATAAGCTACAAAGTAAGATATCCTACAATGATTACATACATAGAATTTATCTGACCTGATTCCTCCATTCATTCATGGGTTAGATGAACTAAATATTTTGTCTAGCTGACAGATCCCAGATTCTGGTTCCTGCCCTATAACTTTTAAGGGAAAACACAGCAAGAATTTTATTAAAGCAATTGCTCAGAGAACATCTCAAGCCACTGCTTCATGCCAGTTGGCTTCACCTTAATCAAGTTAGTAGTACTTACTTGTTCTTATCCCATCCCAGCCTGTTTCTGTGTAGTCCCAGCTCAGATCCAGTGCTTGACAAGATTCCCATTTCAGAGTACTATTTAAGATCTCACTGACAGTTAGAAATGGGATCTGGCTCCTGGTTGAGATCAACTTCCAGATAAGACTTTACTTGCATGGAGCATCAATCAAATTGTGTGGTGGTGGTGGCAGGAGACAGGAAGGAACTCATGTGGTCTCCAGCTGTTAGACGGAGTCCTGACTGAGCACAGGAATCAGGGTCAGGTCAGCCCCAGAGCCAGTCCAAGTGACTATGTAATGGGGTACATCTCAGTGCTCTGAAATCCCTGCCACAGTGGTATGTGGTGACAGTGGCTCTAGCCAGCAGTGTTTCCTGGTCCAGGCAGAAGTTCAGATCCTGTGTGCTGAGGACCTGCAGGCCCCACCTCCCTATCACAGGTTCCCAGCCCCTGCCCCACTGCAATCTCCAACTCTGCCAGCTTTCCTGATACAGTGCTGGCACCATGCCCCCCTAACTCATCCACCAAGGCATTTTGTCTAACAGAACTGTGTAATAAAGACCCGAACACATTCTTTGCTTTAAGTTTGAGTTCTCCAAGTCAGTCCACTGTCTACAGAGTTTGTCAAGCAGTTGCCATACATATGGATTCTTTCCAGTTTGAACTAACTTTGACTGAATGAAGTAAGGATGAATAAAGGCTCTTTCACCCTGATTACAAATTGCTTTCCCCCCCCCACAGCGTGTGAGTCCTTCAAGGATGTTTAGAGTCTGAAACAATGTGTAGTGAATCTTTCATATTTATAACATTTATAGTGTGAGTTTTTTCATGCTGTTCAAGGTCAAAATATTTACTGAAGGCTTTTTCACACAGATAACATTTGAATGGGTTTTCTCCAGTATGAATTCTCTTATGCAGTCCAAAGTTATAGCTTCTTTTGAAGGCTTTCCCACATATATTGCATTGACATGGTTTCTCGTCAGTGTGAGTCCTCTGATGTACTCTAAGGGCAGACGAGTTATTGAAAGCTTTCCCACAGAGGTGACACTCATATATATGGCTTCTCTCCAGTGTGAGTCCTCTCATGTAGTCTAAGGGCAGGCGAGTTATCGAAAGCTTTCCCACAGAGGTGACACTCATGTGGCTTCTCTCCTGTATGAGTTTTCTTATGTCGTCTAAGGCCAGGAGAATCAGTAAAGGCCTTCCCACATAGATGACATTCATATGGTTTCTCTCCAGTGTGAATTCTCTCATGTGTTCTAAGGCCAGAAGAATCAGTAAAGGCCTTCCCACATAGATGACATTCATGTGGTTTCTCTTTATTATGAGTTCTCTCATGTTGTCTAAGTTTAGAAGACTTAGCGAATGCCTTCCCACATAGATGGCATACATATGGTTTCTCTCCAGTGTGAACTCTCTCATGTTTTCTAAGGTCAGAAGATTGACTAAAGGCTTTCCCACATACATGACATTCATGTGGTTTCAATCCGGAGTGAATCCTCTCATGTTGGCTAAGGTTAGATCTTATACTGAAGGCTTTCCCACACAGATGACACCCATATGGTTTCAATCCAGTGTGAATTCTTTCATGTTTTCTAAGGTAAGAACTACTACGGAAGGCCTTTCCACACAAATGACATTCATGTGGTTTCAATCCAGTGTGAATTCTTTCATGTTTTCTAAGGTAAGAACGACTAATGAACGCCTTTCCACACAGATGACATCCATGTGGTTTCAATCCAGTGTGAATCATCTCATGTCGTCTACGGTTAGAACGCACACGGAAGGCTTTTCCACAGAAACGACATTCAAATGACTTTTCTCCATTTTTAGTATTGCTGTGTTGTCTACCGGCAGAGTGTTGAATCAAAGCATTCTCACGTTGACATTCAAACGATTTATTTCTAGCATCAATTGGTTTCTGTTGATTAAAGTAATTGATCACTTTTCTAAATTCTTGTATGATATGGGGTTTCTTTCCCATGTGAGGTATCATGCACCAAGTCAATGTTAAGATTTCAGTCAAGCAACCATCAAAAAAGAAAAAAGAAAAAAAAAAGATTTCAGTCAAGTTTTCTCCCAAATCATTACATTCAAAAGAATCTTCTTGAGTGTAAGATCTCTGCTTTTTGAAAGGAAATGAGAGACTGTTAAAGATTTATCCACATTTATTCATTCTTCCATTCCTTTCTCAATATATAAATTATAGAGTAATCATTCAATGATAGAGTCCATTTAAAACTGTTCCTATTAGTTATATAACCACATGCATAAAGATTTTCTCTTTTATGGCATCCCAACTGGATATATCTGATTTAAAAAAAAATATATTTTATTGATTTTTCACAGAGAGGAAGGGAGAGAGATAGAGAGCTAGAAACGTCGATGAGAGAGAAACATCGACCAGCTGCCTCTTGCACACCCTCTACTGGGGATGTGCCCGCAACCCAGGTACATGCCCTTGACCGGAATCGAACCTGGGACCTTTCAGTCCGCAGACCGATGCTCTACCACTGAGCCAAACTGGTTTCGGCATATCTGATTAATTTTTATACATTCTACTTCAAAGACTGGGTATATGAGCCAGAATTACACAATTCTCTCTTTTTTAAATCCTCCCCTGGGAATATTTTTCCATTGATTTTTAGAAAGAGTGGGAGAGAAGGAAAAGACAGAGTGAAATATTGGTATCAGAGAAAAACATCAATTGATTGCCTCCTGACCAGGGCCAGGGTGGGGAGGAGCCTGAAACTGAGGTACGTGTCCATCAATGGAATAGAACCTGGGACCCTCTGGTCCACAGGCTACAACTTTCCTTCTGAGCAAAACTGGCTAGGGCACAATTTATAAGACCTCAGGTTATGGTTTTGACTTTAGGTTAATTTCTTCCCTAAAACCAAACTAACAAAACTTTCTGCTGTGAAAGCCCTTGATCTCAACTTTAATTAGATAATTATGCCAAATTCATAACTTATTTAATTTCCTGTTCTTTATTTAGAACAACAGGTTCACACTGATAAAGCTTACCACTGCATTGATGAGGGATGTGTCCTTCTTGAGAAAATGTTGAGTGGATACCATTTCTTGTTTTTTAAAATCATCTCTCCTTTCTGAAATGACTAGGGGGAAATTATTAGGGAGATTAAAATGTTGAAGAGACCCATAGGCCATTTGTTTTAAATATTAACACATAAATGGAAAGCACATCAAAGTAAGGAATACTCTAAGGAAAAACGCATTACAGGCATCAATTGACATTTTTTTGGACTAGAATATGAGAAAAATAAAATGAAGAAGGCAAACTGGGGAGGAAAAGAGAGGGACAGATTTATAGAATAGGTCCATAAAAAGGGATATTTTGTGAATTAAAAACACACACAAACACATCACTTTTATTGATAAGTCAGACACAATGGACAGTTTCATGAAGTAAGACAGTCCTAAGGCAATGGAGTATAAAATGACAGCAGACAAGTTAATACTATTCCTCCCCTTACTCTCACCCTCAGCACTATATCCTCCAACCTTCTCAAAGTCCTTATTAATGATAGCCATGTCCTCATGGGACTCAGAAAACTCTCCTTCCTCCACTCTCTGACTCACATGCCAGTAAATAAAGGCATGCTTGGCCTAAAACAGGTCAAACTGTGCTCCCGGAGAGCCCATGTCTCAGCAATGGCTATGGTGTTTTGAGGCACTGCTCAACATGCACATATCTCACTGTATTTTGGCCAGATTGCCATCAGGTATACAGTGGTAGGTTGCTAATTAATACAAACTCAAAAATCATTGGGGGAGCAATCCACAGACTAGATGGTATGCTTGGTCTCGATGGTGGGAATGGCAGCACTAACTATGTCACCAAAATAGAAAAGGCAGCAAGCCAGGAATTTCCCAAGGAAGGGCCATATTTCACCATCTGGTTGGCTCACTCAAAGCACACACTGGTAATCTCTACTAGAGTAAGCTGCTTATACTATAGGAGGCTTTCTCAGCAGAGATAACAGGAGCACATATGGCCAGAGGAAAGTGGATTTGGGGCAATGGGACTAGGTTTCCCTGGAATTCTCTAAGATCGACTTTCAGTGACTCATCAAACTCGAGGGAAGCCACGATGGAAGACATAATCTGGCTAATAACGTGGTTAAGATTAGTGTTGGTTGAGTGCTCCATATTGAGTTTTCTCCCACAGGTATCATAGATGGCCTTCCTGACAACCGTGAAGGCACAATCAGAGTGCTCCAGGTGGTGGTGTGGGTGCTGAGATAGTTACAGGGCTCAACTCCAGCTATGGAAATCTGGGGGGATGGATGTAAATAGAGAACTCCTCTAAGTACATGAATATAACCTTCCCTAAAGTTAAGAGAGACACCTGAAGAGAAGTTACTACCTGCAAAGTATAATGACATCTCAAGAATTTGTCTCCTATGTTTTACAAAACATCACTAACCTCAGATATCTCCATTAATCATTCTTAGGGCCCGCTTACTCACTGACAAGGCTCTTTCTTATATTGAAACACAGCCTCTGGAGCTCACCTGGACTCTGGCCTTGCAGAATAACAATCTCTTCTCCTGAAAGTTGCTTTCCCTCCTTGAAATGAGAAATCACGTATGAATCGTAGAGCTGACTGCCTGTTTGTACGAAAATGATACATGGATTTTGAATTCTGTGCTGATAACAGTATATGGTAATCAAAATAGGGTCAATTAAATGAGAAAAATAAGATAACCTCTGAAAGACAGCCCAGGGAAGCGTATACTGAAAGTAACATGGGTAGTCAGCCAATGACATCTCTTAAACTTGTCCCAAAAGATATTAAGGACATATTATTGCTGTTGCCCATGCCCAAGTTCAAAGAGAGACTATAAAATCATCAATATTTTCATGTAAGTTTTCACAGTGCTTAACTATTATGACCAAATAAATACAACTTCTAACAGGGGGGTGGGGGAATCTAAGTTCTATGTGGAAAACAGTATGTCTTGTTATTTTTAATACTTTGTTCTGATCTAACAGTACCTGCAGCAAAATAATTATTTAGATATTTTAAATCAATACATTTACTTACACATTCAAAATCAGTGAGTTTCTGCCCTGGCCAGCTTTGCTCAGGGGTTGAAGCATCAGCCCTCAGACCAAAAGATTCCAAGTCAAGAGCATGTACCTCAACTGCAGGTTCAATCCCTGGCCCTGTGAGGGAGGCAACCAATTGACATTCTCTCTCACATTGATGTGAGACTCATTCGCCAGTTAATGAGTGTGTGTGTCTCCCTTCCCCCACATCCTTCCACTATCTCTAAAAATCAATGGGAAAAATATCTTCTGGTCAGGATTTAAGAAATTAAGTGAGCTCCTACCACTGTGTGAGAATTGGAAATTTAGTAGCAAGCAACGGAGACATAAAATTATATCAGGAAGATTACATTCTATTGAAATTACAAAATGAATAAAAGCAAAAAGTAAAGAAAATTGCTGACTGTAAGGTAGTTGTAAGAGTGATGAAAGAATCAAGACAAAGTTTGGAATAAGAAATGGGAAAGTTTTTTGACATATGTGTAGATGAATAAATATATACATGCACAATACATATGAAGAGACTCACCAATCGAGAGCAGATGACAGATGCTCTCCAGCATTACGTCTGTGAATAGTTTTCTCTGGGGTATGTCCAGCAGGGCCCATTCTTCCTGGGTGAAGTCTACAGCTACATCCTCGAAGGACACTGCTTCCTACAACATCATGGACATTGTTTCAGACAGTGCCAGGACTGCCAATCTCTAGGGGAGGATGGTTCAGGTAGGTCACGGCATTAAGGAAGTGGCAGCTGAGTGATAGAAAGTTCAAACAGTATTTTGGGTCCAGCCACATCATTCTCATTGCTGAACTGGACATCTGACTTTCAGATATACCCACAGTAAATATATAAAACCTCACTGTAAAGAAGTATAAAATGAAGTGTGATGTAATATAACCTGGAGACATTAACAATAAACTTGTAATGATGACTCCAAATCATGATTACAAAATTTGCACTTGAAAATTTATAATTAAAACACTTCTCCACCAATTTCAAGGAAACCTACAAACTCATCAGAAGGACTTGGGATCGGCAGGTGCAGCCTCTTGTCTCCACACAGCTCAGATGCTCGTGACGCAGCATAAAGATAAACTGCTCAGCAGCACGAGCCAGAGACCCTGAGACTTCTGTGCTGAAGGCCAGGAGTACCCCAACTCTTTCTATGGTCCGGGGCCTCTGTGTCTCACTCTCTCTGGGACCTCCAATTACAGCTGTCATTGCTTCTTCTGTTTCTCCATCTTATGTCTCTATTCAAGTTTACCTGAAGCCACCTGATTACTCTGGGCTCTTCACTTCATCAAAAATTTCCACAAGGCTCCAAATTTTATTCGACCTTCTATGTTCCTCCTCCTGAATTACAACCAAAATTGAGGAAACAATACTCGCTATGCATTGCCTCCACTTAATCAAATTTGAAGAAAGAAAATTACAAAAAGAAAATTCATGACTTGGGATGGGTAATAATGAGAATTTTGGTTTTCTTTTTTGGATTTCAAAAGTGCAAACATATTCTATAAAAATTTTAAAAGGCCTGAGATTGGAAAAAATAAATGAATGACTTCTGATTGCCTTTTCTGGCATAATCATGACTTATTTTCCCCCCAATACTAATCAGCACGCCTGTCAGCACCTGTAACTGGCTGAACTCAGCTGTGGAAACACCTGCTGCCTTTCCTGGCTATAATGTTTTGCTCCTTCCTCACCTGCATTCACTTCAATCCTAAGGCCCTGACAGTTAATGATATGATTAATGTGGAATTTTTTTTTTTCCTAACCAAGCCATGAATTAGATGAGAAAACAAAGCCTTTCCAATATCTCCTATAAATACACAGCATTACTAGAGGCTGGAATATCTTAGTTTTTGTTTTGTTTTTAAAAAAATATATTTATTGATTTTTTACAGAGAGGAGGAGAGAGGGATAGAGAGCTAGAAATGTCGATGAGAGAGAAACATTGACCAGCTGCCTCTTGCACACCCCCTACCAGGATGTGGACATGCCCCTGACCGGAATCGAACCTGGGACCTTTCAGTCCGCAGACCGACGCTCTACCACTGAGCCAAACCGGTTTCGGCTGGAATATCTTAGTTTAATGTTGGGAAAGAGATTGCCATTTAATGAGTCCTTGACCCAATACGACCATTCCAGAGTACTGGGGAAAATGAACTGAAGCTCAGATCTGTGAAAAGTCTCGCGTGTCCTCAGAACACCTGTGCCTGTAGGAACAATATACCCACATACTGGCAATGGAGATGCGTTTCAGTAGAAAGGCTAATTCCCAACTCACCTGTGATGCCATGGTCACTAGCTCAGCTGTCAACTGTCTCTTGGGTTTTCGTTGACACACAGTCCAAGCAACAGGAGGCAGAGCTGTGGAGGAGAAAGCAGCCATGAAGTTTACTTCTCTACAATTTCCAGACCCAACTGTCACGAAGCCCCACTGCTTCACCTGGAGGTAGCCCCAAGCCCAACCAGCAGAATCGGCAGTGTTTGCTGAGTGAGCAGTGGGAGAGCTCTCCTCTGCAGATCAAAGGAAGACACACACACCTATAATTTAGAGAGGAGGGTGGTAAGGGAATCAATCCAGGTGTTCAGGATTTTCCAATTCCCCCTTGAGACCAAAACACAGATATCCCTGACTCATGCCACAGGTGTCCCCACCTCCAGCAACAGGCTTAATTATACATTTCTCAGCTTATATTCTTAGTTGGCACACATCAGTGTTTCTCCAAGTCTACCCTGCTCTCTGGTGCCCCAGACCATTCCTATGTCCTGTCCTTGGCCCTCCAGACACTTTTGTCCTGAATCATTTTTGTCTCCTCCAAGTGAGGCTCCAGAAATATCAATCCTTCAACACTGACTTTTAGTTAAGTCCTGCAGGAATTTGGTTATGCACCAAGAGAATTAAGATTACATTTTATTATAGTGTTAATTCATTGATGGATTGCCTTATTCCATTCAGTGTGGCCCATGGAATCTACTTTGAAATTTATCCCTGAAGAGACCCTGCATCAGATAATACATGATCACGTGGGTTACAGAACTCCTATCATGTTCGACAATCCTCACAGGGCAGTAGGCTTAGGAAATATAGAATGGAAGCATTTTAATAGAAAATTCTGTTGCTCCATCTGATATTTTAGAAAAGTTGAAGCTGAACTGCTGTCCTTTGCCAGTCATATTAGCTGCAATTTTCTTTAACCTCATTCTTTAACCCTGTGCCTGAGACAGCGTTTATAAAGTTAAACCCTCCCCTAAAACAGCAATAATCATGTATATTTCATAAACAAGTGATGATAATGAATTGTAACAGAAGTAGGTTTAACTCACCATTTGTAACTTGGAATAGTCAAGTTTCATTACATGCGATTCTGTGCAAACAGATATATATATATATATATATATATATATATATATATATATATATATATACATTTGCTTATCTGTTCCTCAAAGTAACCCTACTGATTATGACTTATTTATAAAGTTAATAAATGGCATGATCAGAAGTTCAGAAAACTTTAGTAATGTGGCAAAAATCACACAAATACAAGCATATACCATGCATATAAGCATATGTCAAAAAGAAGCACATATAGTTTGCATTTGCCTCCGCCTGCCTTTTAAGCAGGGAATCCTTAAAAGAACCCATGCCCTCTGAATGGTCAAAGCATTGTCACGTATACCATAAAAGACTGAGTTCAATTCCTGCTCAGGGCATATATGTGGGTTGCAGGTTTGATTCCCAATTGGGGTGCATACAGGAAGCAATCCATCAATGTTTCTCTCTAAGATTGATCTCTCTCTCTATCTTTTTCTCCCAATTCCTCTCTAACAGTCAATAAAAACATATCCTTGGGTGAGAATTAAAAAAGAAAATTCAGAGGACCCATCCTTTTTTTGCAATATATTCTCCTTTTTGCTCTTTCACCAAAAATTACTGCCCATGCTGGTATTCTGTACCACACAGGACCCACTGCATCACCCCCATTCCAGAACTTCACCTCCACTCCTCTTCCTGCTGCCCAGTGTAATGTGGCTACGGGTTCCAACAGAGTTCCCTAAGACCAACATCACTTCCTCTTTCTACTGACCGTTTGCTCCATCTGCCGAAGAATACCGCCACAAGGAATCCAGAGGACCGCACCAAGACACATCACAGTTAAAATGCCAGGAGCAAAAGACAAAGAGAGACTCTTACAAGCAGCAAGCTGTAAAGGAGCACCCATACAACTATCAGCTGATTTCTCAATAGAAACCATGCAGGCCAGACAGGAGTGGCAAGAAATATTCAAAGTGATGAATAGCAAGAACCTACAACCAAGATTACCCAGAAAAGCTATCTTTCAGAATGGAAGGGCAGATAAAGAGCTTCACAGATAAGAAAAAGCTAAAGGAGTTCATCACCACCAAACCAGTATTGTATGAAATGCTGAAAGACATTCTTTAAGATGAGGAAGAAGAAAAAAGATAAAAATTATGACCAACAAATACATATATATCAACAAGTGAATCTAAAAATCAAGTGAACTAAAAATCTGAGGACCAGAATAAACTGGTGAATATAATAGAATCAGGGGCAAAGAAAGAGAGTGGATTGATAATTATCAGGGGGAAAGGGGTGTAGAGGGTGTAGGAAGAGACTGGATTAAAATTGTACATCTATGGATGAGGACAATGGGGGGAGGAGGTAAGGGCAGAGAGTGGGGTGGGAACCGGGTGGAAGGGAGCTATGGAGGAAAAAGGAGAAACAATTGTAATAATCTGAGCAATAAAGATTTATTAAATTTGGGGGGGGGGGAGAAAAAAAGAGTACTGCCACACAAGGCGTCTCCAAATAGTGCCTTTTCCAGGGCTACCCCTGACAGTAGGAGTCACATCTCACAGTGGCTTCGAAATGGCACGTCCTGCTTTTTGACAGGTCTTCCATGCTCCCCAAGCATTTCTAACTCTCTCCAGGCCTTTGATTTCACACAGTCTCACCCTCCCCTCACTTTCAATAGATGAGGTATTTCCTTCCAAGTAGATATGTAGGTTGACAAGTTCCTGGGTCTATCACCATAAAATGTGCATTTTCCTGCACTTATACCTTTTAGTTACTCCCTCTCCCATTGCACTGAAGAACCATCTAGACTCCAATGAAACCACTCTGTCTTCTGTTTTGTCAGGAACCTTGTATTATTTACTAAAATGTTTATTTCCTTTACAAGCGACTTGCCCCTCTTCTCAAAGCATGCCCCCATCATTTAAACCTATCAAATCTCCTGCATCTTCAAACTAAAACTTCGCTGAACTCTTTCCTCTTCTGGTCTTTCTCTACTGTCCCGCCTTTACAATCAAACCAAAAGCTGAAGGTGCAGTTACCTTAGGCTCACATCCCTCCCCCGCTCTCCCCTTCCCCCCAGTTGGCTAACTAACTAACATCACCACCAATGACATCGGCATAAATAAATGCAATGTACACAATCAGGCTTTTACTGGGAACCAAGTAATAAGTGTACTACTTTTGAGGAATTTACTTTCCCCTCGGCTCTCTAACATGTCAGCCTTAAGGCTAATATACTCATCCCAGCTCCGTATCACGTGAGCAGAACTCAAACAACAC